CGGTATAAAGTGCTCTCCATATTCTGCATGTAAAGCTCGTGTTGGATTTTCGACTTCGTCTTTGCCGGAGGAAGTGATTGCTCGGATGGAGATTGAGAAAGATCTTCTTGCTGTCAATGAAAACTCTGTCTCCCAAACGGATGGGGCTGCAAACCTGATCCAAGCTACAAGCGATGAAACACCAACAGTTGGTGTGACAGACGGTGTTGTACTTCCAGTCGAACTTGAAAGCACATCAGAACAAGACATCGATCTACCTACAGGACCTTCCTTGCCCACAACAACTCCATCAGCCTACGATGTTGACAGCCCTGTTTCTTATGGACAATCGAAAGAGCATGTGACGTCTCTCTCAACCTCTTCATCTGACAGTCCTGGTTCTTATGGACAATCGAAAGAGCATGTGACGTCTCTTTCAACCTCTCTATCTGACAGTCCTGGTTCTTATGGACAATCGAAAGAGCATGTGACGTCTCTCTCAACCTCTCCATCTGACAGTCCTGGTTCCTCTGCTGAAAACCTTAGGGTAGAAGAACGCATCAAACAAATAAAATGCGTCGTCGTGAAGCAGCCAATGCACAAACTTCTCAAGCAGAGAGAATGGTTAAAAGAGGTCGTGTAGATATGCGAGCTGGCAAACAAGGAGACAACGTTTGTGTGCCAGTTCCACTTGTTGATCGAGGGAGAGGTGATCCAAAAAATATCCTTGATGTCATACGGACGAGAAGACACAGACCAATATAAGATAGCCATAAAAGCTGGTATTCGCAGTGGTTTATATTCCAGAAATCAATCCGATCTGTGCCCTGAGCGTCTTCTGAACACCAACGACATAAACACCGTAAAAATAGTTTCACTGCGTCGGGCGGAGATTTTTCAATCCTCTCCAGGCGGACAAGGCTTCACAAGATGCTAATGTACTGGTGTCAAAAAGGGTAGTTCAAGGCGATGTAAATGCCGTAAAGCAGGGCCTCAGTGTAACTCAGGCTGTCATAGCAGCCTCAATTGTTGTAACAAGTGACGACGTTGATGGATTTTAGTCTTAAGTTTCTAACTTAAAAAAACCCTGAAACAACAACAAAACAACAGCAATAGTGTCTGCCATTTAAAAAATTGAATGCTTTATTTTTAGATTGTGGCGCAGGTGTGTGTGTGTGTGTGTGTGTGTGTGTGTGTGTGTGTGTGTGTGTGTGTGTGTGTGTGTGTGTGTGTGTGTGTGTGTGTGTGTGTGTGTGTGTGTGTGTGAGAGAGAGAGAGAGAGAGAGAGAGAGAGGGGGGGGGGGGGGAGTTACAGTATCTTTTACCGAACGGACTATTTAAGCAATAACAGTTTGCATGTGCCTGATCATCTCTTAGAATTTTAAATGCTTTGTATTTAGATTCTGGAGCATGTGTAGGTATGTTTGTGTGTGTGTGTGTGTGTGTGTGTGTGTGTGTGTGTGTGTGTGTGTGTGTGTGTGTGTGTGTGTGTGTGTGTGTGTGTGTGTGTGAGAGAGAGAGAGAGAGAGAGAGAGAGAGTATCTGTTACCGAACTGA